AGCTCGGCCCCCGGGCCGGCGGCTGGTGGAGTTGGGAGTGACATTTTCCTGCCTTTATGCCTGAATCGAGGTGGTGTCGCCGCACCGCTGACTGGGGTCTGGGCGGGCGGGTCGGGTGGGTGCCCCCAACCCGGTTATGTTGTGATGGGTGCTCACCCCTGTCTGTGTTCATTGGGTCTGGTGGGTGTTCATGGCTCCTCCTTGGGAGAAGAGCATGAAGGGGGGATCTTAGTCCCCTCGGATCAAGAGTTACTTGGTGGTGGTTGTTTTTTTTTTTTTTAAGAGTTAGTTGTTGACATATTTTTTTTTATTAAGTTTTAAACCCCTCCTCCTTGGCTCCACCCCGTGACACCTTTGAAACGCTTTGACTTAATAAAAGTTGGTTCTCTTGAACTTTGGGAACCTTTACCCATGCCTTGAAACATACCTTCTGTTCCTCGTGGTTCCCCCTTGGTACCAAAGACTTTCTTCTGAAGAGTTTCAGTGCTTTTTGGACCACAGTCAGTACCCCCTAGTGTGTTTCCACCATTTAATAAAGAGCTGTGCCCTCTGGAGAAAACGCAAGGTAGATAAGTCGATGTTATTGTTCATAATACATACAAACAAACCTTTCCTCCGCTTCTTCGGTTTTAAGTGATGTTGGTTAAAAACTTTTTTTCCCAGAAGGACTTGCAGAGTTAAGTGGCTTATTTTTTTTTTCCTGAGGGGGAGGGGGTTAGTTCTCTAATTGGACAGGCTCCTTTGTTGTTTCATGGTGACATCATTACCTAGTGTTATTCTTTTCTCATTCCTGTGTAAACCAGTGTCTCACGGCACCAGAGAAACCTGATCACACAAGAAAACCCTTCGGGGGCTTTTCCTAAATGCGAATACAGGCCAGTCCTGACTGTGGCGTCGGGAGCCTCCACGGCTGACCTCGCGGTCTGTATCCCGGGCTTCCCGAGCCTCTGCTCCAGCTGCTCCCTGTGCGCGGAGCCCTGCCCCCAAGGTCGGCCAGGTGAACATCTAATCCTCTTGGAGGCCTCGGCTCTCCTGTCACCGCCGATCTGGAGGCTCTGCCTTCCCCGCCCTCCCTTGTTTGTGTCCTCCCGAACCCTCCACACGTCCGTCCACAGCACACGGAGCACTTACCTGAGTGTTCCTGTCCTTGTTTGTTAGATGATGGCTCATCCTTGAGGCATTTCCCTCTTTCTGCAGTGGACACTGCGTGCAGGTAGGGGCCGTGTGTCTGTCTCCTGTTTGCTGTCGTATCCCCAGCATCTGGTTCCTAGTAGATACTCAGTAACTGGGACACGTGAAAACTATATATAAGACTTGAGAACAGCGTGCATGTGCCCAGTGCTTTGTGCACTTTTTGGCACAGAAACGCACTTATATGTCGAAGGAATTAATGAATTTGAATTTTGTATTATGTTTTGTAAATTTACACGCCCATTTCTTCCCAAGAATTGCCACAGGGAAAGTCTCTTTAAAAAAGACAAGCTAAGGGGAAAAGGGGGGACCTGTGTAATACTTTCAACCATCAAGATTTAATTTAGAAAAGCACAAGCTAAATCTGGCTGTCTTTCTGAGTCTTTGAAGCAAGTAAATTGTTTATATTCCACTTTCTGTTTACCTCAAAATACTGTAAGACGATGTATGTGCTTATTTCAGTTTCTTGAGCAAATTTTTGTAGTGGAATGGATTTTTATTTCAAAATCTCCTTTTGTGTTTTCTAGCCCTTTTTTGAAACATGTTATTTGTGACAGTGGGAGTTTTTTGTGGTTGTCCTTTCCTTAAATAAATGACCCAGATGCTGATATGCAAATTTGGTTGGTATCAATTGAAAGAAAAGTATTTATTTTAAAAATAGGAGCATAAAAAGAGAAACTTTAGTAGAAAAAATTCTGTTCCCCATGAAGGAAATAAGATTTTCAAGAATGATTTATTTCACACCAATCCAAGGTAAATTATTTATATATTCAGTGGACAGAAGTAACTCCCCTCCCCTTAAATAGTATATAATTAGCAGAGTTACAGGAATATTGGCTAATTATTTTTTTGATTAATTTCTTGAAAGGATAGTCTCAGCTGCAACAGAATTAAATTTTTTTTCATAAAGGAAATAGATGATTATAAAGGAACACACTGGTATTTTTCTGTAGTGAAGAGACTTTTGTGTTTGTGTTGCACAATGTGTGTGTGTGTGTGTATATATATGTGTGTGTGTGCATATATATGTATATGTATATATATGTGTGTGTATATATATATATCAAGAGCTCTAACTTCTGGTTATTTCTTATTAGCAGGATCTGACAGATTTTTTTATTTTGCATAAAAGTAATCACTGTTCCATTACTGTCAAAGTTTATAGGAAGTGCATATTTCTTTCTTGGGCTTTTTTTGTAGCTTCCTAACTGGTCTCTCTTGCCTTCCCAATAAGTCTATTCCTTTTTTAAAAAAAGATTTTTTTATTGGTTTTTAGAAAGAGAGGAAGGGTGAGAGAGAGAGAGACATCCACATGGACATTGATTGCACCCTGTTCGACTCCACACCACCGGGGATGGAGCCGGCAGCCCAGGCACATGCCCTGACTAGGAATCAACCAGCACCAGCATGGTGCATGGGACAACACCCAACCAACTGAGCCACACCGGCCAGGGCCCAATAAGTCTGTTCTTAACTCAGCAGCCAGCGAGTGATTCTGATACAACAGATCGTGACACCCTGCTCAAACTTCTATGGATACCCATTTCATTCAATGTAAAAGCCAAATTCCTTACAATGTCCCATAATCCCTGTATAATCTGTACCCTCTGCTCCCCTACACATAAATCTCCACACTTAACTACTCTACCCGCTGCTGGCTTTTTAGCCTTTTCAGCTTTCTTGTCCCAGGATACTCCAGGACCTTTGCCCTGGTTTCTGTGCCTGGAATGCTCTAACCCCAGTATCACCATGGCTGACTCCCTCACCTTTTTCAAGTTTTTACTCAAATGACACTTTCTTTAACCCTCTCTGACCATCCTTTTTAAATTGCAGCTTGCTACAATATCCTGGAGTTCTTCCTTACTCTGTTCTGTCCCCCCCGCCGCCCCCCCATAGCATTTATCACTTTCTAACAGTATCTTTACTTATTATGTTTATTATCTTTCTCCTCCCACTAAGCGGTAAGCTTCCTGAGGAAAGCGGATTTTTATTTTTTTTTTTTTAACATATATTTTATTGATATTTTACAGAGAGGAAGGGAGAGGGATAGAGAGTTAGAAACATCGATCAGCTGCTTCCTGCACACCCCCCACTGGGGATGTGCCCGCAACCCAGGTACATGCCCTTGACCGGAATCGAACCCGGGACCCTTGAGTCCGCAGGCCGACGCTCTATCCACTGAGCCAGACCAGTCAGGGCGAGGAAAGCGGATTTTTAAAGAAACAGTTTTACAAGTACCTAGAACAGTGCCTGGCACACATTAGGCACTCAATTATTGGTTGAATGAATGGATTTTTTAAAAATGAGTTAATGTATTTATTTTGAGGCAAGTGCATTTGAATGTCTTATAAGAACTATGTGTATTCCTACTGCCTTTTTCCCTTTATTATGGATCATTTTTAAGGAATCCATTCTAAAATTCAAATCTCAATAATATTAAATAAAAGTTTAAAATAATTATTAATAAAATAATTTAGGGTTTAGTTCACCCTGTATATATTCCATAACAGAACGTTTATTTTATGAGAAAGTACTTGAATGCTTATCCTTAGAGAAATGGGAGGAAAGAGGTTAGAGCTTTTCTTGAATTAGAAGGTAAAAACAAAGAAATTTGGCATGCCCTCTGTTCTCTCTTTCTGGAGTGTTTAGAAAGATACAAAGGAAATATGCTTGGAGAGAGAGGATAAGTCATGAAAAAATAAGGAGTGAAGGTCCTTAAGAAGAAAGGGCCAGTAGGTAGCCCAGCACCCAAAGATATATGTGAATAGGTTGAGGTACTACTGTTACTCTAAAACCCTGTTTGTCATATGCTAATTCAAGAGCAGCATCTTATTTTTTTTAAAATATATTTTATTGATTTTTTTACAGAGAGGAAGGGAGAGAGAGAGTTAGAAACATCGATGAGAGAGGAACATCGATCAGCTGCCTCCTGCACATCTCCTTCTGGGGATGTGCCTGCAACCCAGGTACATGCCCTTGACCGGAATCGAACCTGGGACCTTTCAGTCCACAGGCCGACGCTCTATCCACTGAGCCAAACCGGTTTCGGCCAAGAGCAGCATCTTATTAAAACAGCTTAATATTCACTGAACAACAACAAAAGCCACTTAACAGTATTTCTGTCTAAATATATATATATATATATATATGTATGTATATATATGTTTCTCTCAGTTTTGTAGTAGTTATATAACTTGAGAATTACTAATCTCTTCCTCCTGTCCTACACTTTGTGATGAATACATTTTCGATTTTAAAATCAGAAGTAAAATTAGTTATTGTTAACATAGCAGTGGATGCAAGTGTAGCTCTGGTTTTGGAATTTGATAGATCTGAATTCAAATTCTGGTTGTCACTTACATGTAAAATATGAAGAGAGTTCATTAGGTTATATTGTGTTTTGAGGAGCTTCTTTCACAAGTAACAAAACATAACATTTTGGATATTTCAAATTGTGACTGAATAAAGCTTTCTTCAAGATACTTTTAAAAAAAGGTTTGATCTCTTCTATAGAACTTATTAAAAGTAACCCCCCTCCTTTAAAAGTCTATAATATAATAAAATGCTTATTTTTAAGCATACAGAGCTGTATTAATATATTAATATCTTGGTTTTTTTATACTTTTATGATGTTAAATTCAAGTAATTGAAGATTTTTTTATGTTTTATTTTTGTTTACCATTTTGGTGGAAATTACCTCAAAATGTATTTCACATATCTTGGTCTTATTGAACAGATTATTTAACTTAAAAAAATGCCCTATATATGACATTTATCCTTCTCTTGAAGTTCTACCTTTTCATTGAGGTGCAGATCAACTCCAACCTCTTTAATGAAGCCTTCCCTGACCATATTTTCCTCTCTCACTCCTGATTTTGTTTGTATTATTTGGAAATCATATTACCTTATAAATTAGCTCTGATACTTTAACAATTATTTTCTTTCCAGATTACAGTTTTCTTAAAAATGAGAATGATGTAAGATTTTAAATTTTCTTTAAATTTTTTTTATTATTATTGATTTTAGAGAGGAAGGGAGAGGGAGAGAGAAGCATCAATAATGAGAGAAAATCATTGATCGGCCACCTCTTGCACACCCACTACTAGGGATCGAGCCCACAACTCTGGCATGTGCCCTTGACCAGATTTGAACCTGGGACCCTTCAGTCCAAAGGCTAACACTATCCACTCAGCCAAACTAGCCAGGACTGGATTTTATATTTTCTTGGAGGAGTAGAATGGTACCTTACATACTCTGGACACCCAGTGACTAACTTAGAACTATGCCACCTCCCTCTTATTGTCACCACCATAATTGAGGTCCTCATTACCTCTCATAATAACCTAATTGACATCTCTCCTCCCCATTCATTTCATTCCTTGCTGCTAAACAATTCTAACAAGATCAGATCCCTTGCCTCTTAATCCTTAATGATTCTTCATGACTTGTCACTGAAAATCTCTGTCTTAAATCTCTGTCAAAGTCATAACCTGGCTCCTTATATAGTTTTTCAGCTTTTTAAGTCTGACTCTAGTCAGACTAAACAGTTTGTTGTCATCTATATATGCCTCTGTTTTCCAACCTCTGCCTTTGCTCAGTCTATTCCCATTGCCATGAATACTCATCCCTTAATTTCAAATGTAAATTCTAGTTTTCGAGATCCAGCTCAAATGCCATGAATCCTTTTTTGATCTCCTCCAACATGAATAATTTCTTACTCCGAACTTCTTTAAGTACTCCGAACTTTAAGGAGTTCATTTACCATTCCTCAGACCTCTCTTTACTCTTCCTATTTGATTTTAATTATAACAATATCACATCTTCTCTACTAGAATCCAAGTTTGATGATTTATCTTTGCATTGCTAGAACTGTTTTTCACATAGTAGGCACTCAATTACTTGAGTAAACGTGAATATCAGTTGTTTTGTTTTTCTGTAAGAGTGTTAAGTTTGCATTTTTAAAAATACATATTGCTTTTAGAGAGAGAGGAGGAAGGGGAAGAGAGAGACATTGATTTTGTTGTTTCACCTATTTATGCATTCATTGGATGCTGCTTGCATGTACTCTGACCTGGGGTCAAACCTGCAACCTTGGCGTATGGGAATGACGCTCCAACCAACTAATCTCCATGGCTAGGCTGGTTGTTTGCTTCAATATAAATTGTTCCCAGAATCATGTGCTTTAGTGTTTGGCCTTTGTACTTTAAAGGGTTCTGATATTTTCCTCTCCCACATTAACTATTTTTATCTGACTGTATCGAGTTTTGTCCTGTCCCTTCTAATTTATAAAGTGCATGAACTTTGGGAAAGTTAATCTCTTTATCTTTTTCATTCAAGTTTGGTTTGTGTTCTTTGTAGTTTAGCTTGCCTTGGTTTTTGTAAAATGAATAAGCTAAGGTTATTTAATTATCAAAGTTTGCTTGTTTACTTATAATCTTTGTTGTAGTGGGTATGTTTGTTTATGCCTGATTTCCCACTCTGGATGTCCTTTAATTAAGGCTGATTTTTTGCCATTAAGCATGTATGCACCTTTAAGAGTAGGACAGTCAGTGTGTCACTTTAATTCTAGAGCTAATTATAGGGTAACTTGAGAAGATGGGGTAATAAGTTGGTAGATAAGATCTGGAAAACTTGACTTTCTTAAAATATTTTTTAGTTAATGCTTTCTAGAAACATTTTATTGTAAAATTTAGAGCTTTAAAATCTTAGTACAATACTTTAGAATGGGATTCTTTTTTAAAAAGGTCTTAATTTTATTTGGTTCCCTCTAAACAGAAAAATTGTCACAGAATAGCTACTATAGGTTCTATCTGACTTTTTTATTCAACTTGTGTTCCTTCTTTCTGCCCCTGTCTTTTTTAAAAAATATTGCTGTAATTCATTCTTTTAAAAAAATTTTTTTATTGATTTTCAGAGAGGAAGGGAGAGGGAAAGAGAAATAGAAACATCAGTGATGAGAGAGAATCATTGATTGACTACCTCCTGGATGCCCCCTATTGGGAATCGAGCCCACAACTCTGGCATGTTCCCTTAACTGGTATCAAACCTGGGACCCTTCAGTCCACAGGTTGATGCTCTATCCACTGAGCCAAACCGGCTAAGGCCTCCCTTCTGTCTTTATTATGCCTCAGCCAAGTTTAAATGAGGAGGGGAATGAAAGGATGATTATAAATACAATTGGAATTAAATGTTGTATTTCTTTGTCATCTTGTCTCAAGCCATTTTTAATTATCATTTGTGTATTACCTTCCTTCAAGCAAAGAGATAGGGATGATGTATTTTTTCATTTATTCAAATAGGTTATTAAAAAATAGGCTAGAACAATTTTCCAGAAGTCGATTCCTTACCAGTAACTTTTAATAATGAATTTAACAAACACAATATTATTACAGACACTCAGAATTCAGGATTATTATACTAGGGGCCCAGTGCATGAATTTGTGCACCCTGAAAAGGAACTGTGGGCTGCAAGGTTCTTTGCATTGCTGGAACTGCCCCCACGCACTGACGGCACTGGCCCCGGCCCCGGCCTAGCTTGCACCCGCTGACAGCACCGAGTGAAGGGTCCCAGGTTTGATACCAGTTAAGGGCACATGCCAAGTGGCAGCTGCTGCCCTGATTGCCTCTCAAGAGCAGGGGGAGGTGGAGAAGCCCTCAGGGGCAATAAGGCAGGTGCTTGCACCCGCTGATGGTGCTGAGTGATCGGGACCGGTGCTGAGCCCCGGCAGTGGGTGCGAGTGGCGGCTGCCAGCCCCAGTCGCCCCTAGGAACAGGGAGAGGTGGAGAAGCCCTGAGGGATGATTGGGGCTAGCAGCCACAGCTTGCACCTGCTAATGGTGCCGAGCAATCAGGGCTGGCGCCTGGTGCTGGCAGCAGGTGCAAGCGGTGGCTCCAGCACCGGCAGCAGATTCAAGTGGGGCCAGCCGCTGGCAGCAGGTGCGTGTGCCGAGTGGGACTGTGGTGCACAGGAGCAAAGAATTTTCAGGAACCACCAGAGGGTTGCCCCAATGACAGCAACCAATGCCGCTCCTTGGTCTGGTGCCCTTGCTCACCTGCTCTACCATCCCAGCGTGGCCAACGCCCACCATATTCTGCACGCGCCCCCTGGTGGTCAGTGCACATCATAGCAACCGGTTGTTCAGTTCTGCCGTTCTATTTGCATATTAGGGTTTTATATATATAGATAAATGAAATTAAGAGTGATGTGGTAAAGATTCTAAAGACCCACAAAAAGTGGAAATGTAAGTGAA